CCACCACCAGTGCTGCTAATGCCTCCGTGCCAGCAACAGTCAACAGCAACACTACTACAACTACAACTATCACTACAGCCACCACAAATCCGAACACTTCTGTGACGACAACTGGAAGTACAACAACAAATTCGTCAGGTTTGTGATCACTTCAGTTGCGTGCACAACTCTGTGGCAATGCTTTCCTTATCATAGCGTCACTGTCTCCTCAAATTGTGTTGACAGCAGCTGAAGCCCAAGCCAACGCACTGCTTGAAGAGACAAAAGACGTGTCCAAACTGAACTCCAGCCAGGTGAATCAGCTGGTGTCTAAGCTGGAGGATCTGTTATCAGGCCCAAATGTCAGCATAGGGCTGGGGAACACATCAGTCAACATTGTCAGCAATCTCCTGGGTGCTTCTCCATCTGTGCTGTCACAGTCCTCCAACAGGTTACAGATTTATTTATTTATTTATTTATTGTGGTCTTTTTACATTATTATTTCATGGGGTGGACAATGCATTTGACCCATACTGTTTTTATTTACTGTTCAAAGTTGAATTCTTGTGATAATCAACTCATTTAGAAACAACCAAATCAATACAAGGTTCAAGAGCATTTTCACAACAATAACCAGATATGGGCTCTAAAGAACACCAACAAAACCCCAGTTTTCCTCTTCCATCCATAGGAGGACAAAACACCTCAATTACAACTCTTATTTTCATCTTTTTTTTTACCCAGTAATATTGCTTCTTGTTGTAATTAAAGAAATGACATGTACTATTATTTATTCATTTATTCTCACCAGGATAATGGGGATCGTTGATACAGTGGGGCTCAAGCTGGTTGTTGGAGGGACGGCTCAGACCATTTTGTCCCCGGCTGTTGCTCTATCAGTGAAACCAGCAGATGGCGCCAACTTTCAGAAAACAACTTTTTCCATCTCAAGCCCCACCAATGTGGAGGTAGGGAAGAATAACTTTTGTACAAGTGCTTTGTGTCTTATATAACACAGCATTTCCAGCTTTGTCTAGAGAAGCCTGTAGAAGATATTTAGTGCCTTTTTACTGTCGATTTAATTTTTTATGGTTATTTTAATAGGGAAGTTGGAGTAATTGTTTTAGGTTGTAATTGGCATATTTAAAAGAAGAAGAAGAAGAATATACTAACACAGATTTTGTGTATTTGCATGTGTAGTTCAGATTAAACTAAATTTAAAACTAAATTTCTTTCTTTCAGCTTTTCAGAATAAAGTGGTTCAGTCAAAAACATGATCAATTCATAAATTACAACAAATTGGTTTAATCATGTGACCCTTTTTTGCTTTTAAAGACACAACCAGGTGATCTAGGTCAGAAATTCTGACGGTTTCTTTTCCTCACAATGATATGACATGATTTGTCAGTAAATCCCTGGATTACACTTGTGAATGTGGGTGTAATACTAAATGTTTTGAAGAATAAGCAGCCATTTTGTCACTATTTGGAAGAGCAAAGCTGCTCCTCCAAATAGTGATCTCTAGTAGAGAGATGCCAGTTGCCCCAAATAGAAAACAGGGTAAAAAAAAAAAAACCCCAAACAAACAAAAAACAACTCTCCCATGATCGAGTCTGTTAAGCTCGAGGTCCATGTGTGTTACAGGTCCGTGGGAATCCCAGACTGAGAAGGAGCGTGACAACAAACTCCTCGATCCCTCAGGGCTCCGTCACGCTGCCTGCCTCTCTCACTCAGAATCTCACATCTCAGGAACAGCAGCAGGTCTCCAGAGTTCAGTTCAATTTCTACCAGAAGAGCACCGTATTCCAGGTCTGACAGTTCAACCAGCAGCCCCCTTCTTATTCACCACTAACAAAAACACCTACTTTTAAAAAAAAAAGGCTGAAATATTTTTATTTTTAATGTAGTGTTTTAAATCTGATACTTACACACTCTTTACAAACTTGTTTTGTTGTCTCTAAATGGCTACACAGGACAAATCCCTGGGAGTACGCAGGCTTAATAGCGGGATCCTAGGAGCAAGTGTCGCCAACCTGTCAATCACAGGACTCCGAGACAATGTTATAATCACCCTAAAAAACCAAGAGCCTATTCCGGTAAGCCTGGTTTCGCCAACTGTCATTTTTATGGCAAATTAAAAGGCAATGGTTGTGTCCTCATAGAGAAATTATACTTCTGGAGGAAGCATTGCCTAAGTGCTTCGGCTACAGGTTTAACCAGACAAACCAAGCCAGTTTGTAGCAGCGCACACTTGCCGGAGCTATACGACCGAGCTACACATGTATGTGTGGTTGAATGTAGCAGCAATAGGCCACAAACATGCTGTAAAAGCAACACATCCTTAACAGAGAGAGAGAGAGATAAAGAGAAAACTATCATGTGCAATTAGAGATGATAAACTTTTTTTTCTCAAATTACAGGCAAATTTTGTGGCAACGTGTGTCTTCTGGGACTTTGCATTAAATAGTAAGTTGTCCAGCCATGAGTTAAGAACTTCAGTGAATACAAACAGACGTGTAAAAACACGACTCGTGTTTGTTTTCTGCCCACAGATGGATCGGGAGGCTGGAGTTCAAATGGCTGTTCTGTCCAAAACAGCACGGACAGTGAGACAATTTGTGGCTGCAACCATTTAACCAGTTTTGCCATCCTGCTGGTAAGATCATCAAAATACATTTTGTCATGTATGTTGTCATGTTTGATTATTATTCATTAGAATAATAACACTTTTGGGGGGCATCTCCTTCATAAAGGACCTCTCCAGGCAGCCTATAACTAGTCGTCTCCAGAGCACCATCCTTACCTTCATCACATACATTGGCTGTGGAATCTCTGCTATCTTCCTGGCTGTCACCATCCTCACCTACTTGGCCTTTGGGTACGTATAGAAATCCAGAAAATAGATGATCTAGATCTGTTATTCATTACTTATTGCTAAAGCTCTATGCATTTTTTTTGCTCGCTGAGGTATTTTATACATGTTGTCATCATAATTTTGCCTCCACAGCAAGTTGCGCAAAGACATCCCATCCAAAATCCTGATCCAGCTGTGCTTTGCGCTGCTCCTGCTGAATCTGGTCTTCCTGGTGGACGCCTGGCTGGCGCTCTACCCAGACGCCGTGGGCCTTTGCATTTCCACTGCCTGGTTCCTTCACTACTTCTTGCTAGCTGCCTTCACATGGATGGGTCTCGAGGCCGTCCACATGTACGTGGCACTTGTGAAAGTCTTCAACGTCAATGTATCGCACTACATGCTGAAGTTCTCGCTGGCTGGCTGGGGTATCCCGATGATTGTGGTCATTATTGTCATTGCAATTGACAAAAAAAACTACGGTCTCGTTTCCTATGGAAGGTTTAGCGATGGCACTACTGATGAGTTGTGAGTACTTTATTCGTAATCTCATTATTGCACATTATCCTACATAAAATCCATGATATAAAACCTCAGAACAATAAGCCAACCTTTAATTCTCCTCCGACTCTCCCACAGCTGCTGGCTGAAAAATGACATCGCCTTCTACGTGGCAGTGGTGGCCTATTTCTGCGTCATTTTTATATTTAACTTCGTCATGTTTATTGTAGTTATGGTCCAGCTGTGCCGGATAAAAAAACAAAACCCTCAAAATCTCCAGCACCGCAGCACACTGCAGGATGTGCGCAGTGTGTTGGGGATAACTATCCTGCTAGGCCTCACGTGGGGCTTTGCCTTTTTTGCCTGGGGGCCCGTTAACCTGCCGTTCATGTACCTCTTTGCCATCTTTAACTCCCTGCAAGGTGAGCTGACATTTTCTGAGCTGGTTTGTGAAATAATGGTGATTTCACTAAAATCTGGTCAGTGTACATAGTAATTCTGCTGTTTTCCTTTCTTTTGTCCTCAATTTTAGCCAGTTTTTATTGACGTCATCCTCTTCTCTTATTTTAACAACAAAAATACAATCACATCTTTTTCTCTAATTGGTTTTTAAATGCTCCTCTAAGTAACAGTGCACAGTAACAACTGCACTGTGAAACGTGGCATTAACAAACACGCTTGTTTTGTAGGTTTCTTTATATTCGTGTTCCACTGTGCAGTGAAGGAAACCGTGAGGAGGCAGTGGAGGATCTATCTGTGCTGCGGCAAAATGAGACTATCAGAGAACTCAGGTTAGCGGTGTTCGTTTTATACTGTGTGCCTCAAACTGGTGAAGGTTCCTCCTTTATTTGGTTTCTAACTCATTTAAGAAATAAGTTTACCGACTGTGTGATTGCGTGGGTTCTCTCCGGCTACACGTAGACATGCAGTTAGTGGAGTTAGCTGAATTGGTAACTCTAACTTGTCCATAGGTGAATGTGAGTTCAAATGGTTGCCTGTCTCTATGTGTTAGTCATGCAACAGACTGGTGACCTGTCCGTACCCTGCCTCCTGCCCTAAGACAGCTGGGATAGGCTCCAGCGGAAGAGAATAGATGGACTGTGGGATAATTGCAATTCACAATCA